ATCTACCCCGGCTCCATCACGGCCAACATGGTGTGCGCCGGCGAGTCTGGCCATCGGGCTGACTCCTGTCAGGTGCGTGCAGGGTCCGGCCATTCGGGGACCACCTGGATGAGGGAGAACGTTATGGGAGAAGGTCCCGTCCATGGGAGAAGGTCCCGTCCATGGAGCAGGTTATGGCAGAAGGTCCCGTCCATGGGAGAAGGTCCCATCCATGAGGGAAGGTCCCGTCCATGGGGGAAGGTCCCGTCCATGGGGGAAGGTCCCATCCTTGGGGGAAGGTCCCATCCATGGGAAATAGTCCTGTCCATGGGGGAAGGTCTCATCCATGGGAGAAGGTCCTGTCCATGGGAGAAGGTCCTGTCCAGGGGAGATGGTCCCATCCATGGGAGATGGTCCCGTCCATGGGGAAAGGTCCCGTCCATGGGGGAAGGTCCCGTCCATGGGGGAAGGTCCCGTCCATGGGGGAAGGTCCCGTCCATGGGGGAAGGTCCCGTCCATGGGGGAAGGTCCCGTCCATGGGGGAAGGTCCCGTCCATGGGGGAAGGTCCCGTCCATGGGGGAAGGTCCCGTCCATGGGGGAAGGTCCCGTCCATGGGGGAAGGTCCCGTCCATGGGGGAAGGTCCCGTCCATGGGGGAAGGTCCCGTCCATGGGGGAAGGTCCCGTCCATGGGGGAAGGTCCCGTCCATGGGGGAAGGTCCAGGGTCCCATCCATGGGCGATGGTCCCGTCCATGGGGAAAGGTCCCGTCCATGGGGGAAGGTCCCGTCCATGGGGGAAGGTCCCATCCATGGGAAATAGTCCCGTCCATGGGGGAAGGTCCCATCCATGGGGGAAGGTCCCATCCATGGGGGAAGGTTCCTTCCACGAGGGGAAGATTTTTGGGCTGAGAATGGGCACAATTTGGTGCATCTGGCAGGACCTGGAGGACTTTTGGTTACACCAGGTGGGAAGTGACATGGTCTCACTTGGAGGGGAACAGGAGACCCTCTTGGGGGGGACAGGAGACCATCTTGGGGGGGACGGGAGACCACCTTGGGGGGGGATTTTGTGGGTGGAGATGCTGGCTTGGGCAACCCCCAGATTTGGGGTGATTCTTTGGGGTGAGCCATGACCCCCAGAGACCCCACCCCAACCAC